AGAGAGAGGTGAAAATTTATGAAATTTTAGAGATGACTTATTATTGAAGTAAAGTCATTGTAAACGTTCTCAATATTCCATAAAATAACACATCCAAGATAGATTCTCGTCACATTGTGCTAACACGACAAAAATGGAATTCGCAATTCAACACGGAATGGTAGAAGGACAAACAAAATAGAATACAGAATCAACAATGTAATTCGAAAGTAAACCTTGCAGTAACACGCGAAGTTCTTCGGTATCTACTAATAGCTTAATGTGGAGGATCGATATTATCACTTGTGTAGAATCATTCGTAATGTTTAACGATCGTTACTCACAGAATGTTTGGCTCGATTATTCCAATTAGAAAGAAAGTCTAGGTTTGTTTTTCTAGACTAAAACTCAGAATTTATATTCTTATTATTCGTATCGATGTATTTTCTGCCATCATTAGATTTTCGCGATGACGTTATCGAACTGTGCTGTATATCATGATTGATGTAGATGGTCACGGGGAAGAAACGAAGATACTTTGAGTACCTATCGTTAATGGCAGCACACAGAACTGCCGTTATCGCTACGACCATGGCAATCAAATACAAAACGGATATACGAACGATATTGCATTACCAAACGAGAAAACTGTCATTGCCTTTCATCACAAAAGAGTATTCGCGCATTAAACTCGTTCTGGGACGTAAAATATGACATATATCTCACTCTTTCAATAACGTTTGGAATTAATAATTTACCCTTGCAAATTTATTTATGTAAATGACGTTACGCTGCATATTAAATATGACATTGACGTGTGCAATTTATTTCGAATATTACATAATTGGGCACAGCTCGCAGGTCTCCGAAATGATATCGAAATTAAAACAGAACACAGCTTGTAGCGTTCGTCAAATATTATTTCTTCAAATTTAATGTTGAATAATGTACAATGTGATATAAACAATAGTTTTGTTAATAAAGTAATTTAATACAACGCGCTTAAAAATTCTTTCTTCCGAGAGAAGTTGTTTTTTCCAAGAGAAGTTTCAAAGTTTTGTATCGCTGCTGTGCGGAGAAATACATATCGATTCGAAAGATGTGAACTTTCGAAATTTCCGCAGGGACGTGTCGTCCGCGGTGTCGAATGAATATTTAATAATTTTATTCTTGCGTATCACCAAAATATTTTTTCACTCTATTTAACTATATTTAACGGCATTTGAAGTACATACCTGAGTAGGAACCTTTTGTATCCATAGGCGGCGGGGGGTCATTAAATGGCCTGTACATGGTATTTTTCGTCTTAAAAGACGGGATGCTGTAAAGAAAAACATGTACATAATTATCGAGATCATTGAATTTATGTTAGACGGATATATTAATTAGACCAAGAATTACAACGGACATGAATGAAAGGCTTACGCGTGCAGCCTTTGTAATATTTAATTATCCCGGTTATTTATTAACGTGACACGTGTAGTCTCTCTTATTTTTAACTAGTGTGAGTCCTAGCTTAATGTGGGCGTATACCTTTTTAAAAATCAATTTTTGAATTGACTTTTCCCAGATTGAATCTCGACCGCCTTATCGAGAAAATAAATTTATGCACATTGCAACATTGAACGACGATTCCTCAAATAGATTAGCTGTACGTTCCACGTTAAAATGCATTAAAAGTTTTACAAATCGTTACAATCAAAACGATCTCGTATATATTTCTCGCATATATTTCTATTGGAAAAGAGGACATCGATTTCTTTTTTTTTTTTCTGTGCGAATTATCTCAAGCATTATTGATTACGTAAAATACAATTTATACTTTTATCATTTTCTCTTATATCTTTGTACATTCTATATGTTGCTATGGAAAAATAGAAAGCGATAGTTAATAAATATTTTTTAAAGAAGAACAGATAAGATTTAAATAAAAGAATGAAAAATATATTCTTAATATTCGATGGTTCATTTAGCAAATCTCGAATAAGAGAGTCATTAACGTAGCAGCATTATATTTGTTCACTTTGCTTGCAAAGCAATTGCCAAAGAATAGCGTTTCAACGTTTAGGGCTGATTTCTCTGTGACGTCAGTTAACTTGAGTTGTAGTTTGATTGTCTCTTCTGTTTGCAGAAAGGGACGGAGAAACAATTAAACTACGGTTAAAGTCAATCGTCGTGGTAAGAATCGGTTTCTCCGAACACGTGTAACAAAAACCAGACGGTAAATTATATTGCTCTGCGAGGGATGCGACCATTAATCTCACATACACAAAAACATGTAATGACTAAAAATCCCTCGACAAGATAAAGTACGTGCGATTACTTCGAGCGGACCCGAAGGTATCTAGCGTAGGCGTGAAGACGGGCATCCATCTACATCGACCGCAAAACTTTAAAGCTCTCATCGGAATATATTGTCGTTAAACGTCAGTGAATTCGAAGTAGTTCGATTTTGCAAAAACCAGCTTTTTTATAGAGAAAGATGAACTACTTGCAATTTTTCTTATATTACTTACTAAAAATATGTAAAAAGACATTTAGACAACTGTTTTCCATTTCTGATAAATTTATAGTTTTAAAAAATTATTAAATTAAATAAACTTAAATGTACAAAATTTTGTTTGGACAAAATGCACGAAACACTAAATATTTTATTTTCAACTGATATTAAATTCTACGTATGAGGACTTTCTTCAAAATTGCGATTTTAAAAGATGCAGCACTGAATCTTGTGATAATAAATATAATCTCTAAATCAGTGTTTTTACTAAAATATTATTTTGGGGGTTTTCCAAAAATATCGAGACAATGTAGCATAAATGATAGCAGAGTTCCAATAGCAATGGAGCCAAAGGGATTGCTAATGTAAGCGCACCTAAGTTACTCTGTATTCTGTACTGTATCTGTATTCTGTATGATATCTCTTAGTTCAGGAATATGGTTTGAATTATGATTTCCATTAGTACTATCCATGGTCATGTAACGATAACACCGGTGCAATCAAATTATATTTTACACGAGAAATCTTTTCATAAAATCTTTTTATGTTATTACTTGTATTTTTATATTTTTCACAGTTTAATTATAGGTCTATAAAAAAGAACAATGATAGATAAATATTGTGATAGATTTGATGAATAAATATCGTGGAAAAGAGAAAGTAATTTGCATGTAATTTAAAATCTAACACAATAATTTAGCAAAGATTGGCTCTCTTCATTATAGACTTCAAAACTATTTAAATATCTTGATAGATCTATGAAGGGTGTATATGCCATATGAGAGAAGATGTTTATAAAAAAATATATATATTTTTTTATAAATAAATTATTTTATGTATATATTCCTTAACAAGCGGAATATTTGGTGCTGAAAGTAAATTAATAGATTCTGTTAGTTTTATTACTCTCCTAATTATTAATGCTCCAGCACGCCGCAGTCGCACGTCGCTCGTGCGGAAATATTTGAATAATTAATAACTTGCGAGCCATCAGGTCAGAAATTCGCACCTCTGAGATCTAGAATATACGCCGTGGTTAAACTGCCACGGGAGGTCCCCCCATTCCGAATCCCTTCGGATGAATCGTTGCTGAAATGCTAGCATCGCATCTCATTTCGGTGGGGGTTGAGAATGGAGAGAGAATCCCTCTTACGTCACAGCCGCGCGTATATACAGATTACATATATATCTGTACTCTTCGCGCGCGAAGTGCACGCTATCTACATCTCGTCTACGGACGTTTTGCCGCACAAAACGCGGAAATTACGGACACGACCGCCTCGAACGAGAGAAATCACGCGTTTCCGTCGAGGACGTCCTTTAACATCTCCGATGCACGCATCATGTACAATGCACTCGAGCAAAATGTTGTCATATGCAATTATGGCAATTATGCGAAATATATGTGTGCTTAAAAATGTATATAACGTAAATCAATTAAAATGACAATTACGATATTCTATGTTTCCGCATAATAATTATAAAGCAATTGTAATTTTCTGACTAGCTGTTAAGCAAGAAATAAAAATCGGAGTATACTCCGAGTTTTATGAATTATAAATTAATTGTAATTTGTAAGCAATAAAACTTAAAAAAATAAGCGAATTAATTATGCTTGATTATAATTGAATCAATATTGTCAAAATTGCCATTTGACAAAATTTACAAAATAAACATTAAATTTATAAATTATTTTTGAAGTATTTAATTTACAAATTATATAATCATTTTTTATATTATATTGCATATCGTTATCTAAAAGATATATATTAAAAATAATTATATTTAATTATATAATTTAAAAAATATAATATAATTATTATAATGTAGCATTAACACATGATTTACATTTTAATTTTATTAACGTATACATGAAGCATATTATATTATATTTGTATTATATATCGAATTATTTTTCACATTTTTTTCTGCAATTTCTGGATTAGACTGGAATATAAATCTCTTGAACATAAATCTTTTCTTGATAAAAATGTCTTGATATTTATGTTTTATTTTTGATAATTTAAATTTCTACAAAATAACAAAAACATAAGTCATATAATATCTTAGTAATATAATTTTAATTTAAAGTTTAATTAACAAAATAGGTCAGAATTATCACTTTTTATTATGTAGGATTTTTTAATAACACGTATTAGATACGCTTCTCTTTTGTTTGCAAAAGTGAAATAATAGTCACGTTTTCTCAGTGCGGTGTGTAAACAATATGTTCCACATTTTTCCACAACTTATATCTGGCATCGTCATATGTCGTCCAGCTGCACGAAATCGTCCGTAGGATCTTTGCTATCTTCAGTCTTGACGCAATACTTTTACCGCTCATACACACAACCAACAAAGAAAAATGTCAACGAGAATTATTTTGCAATAAATTGAGATCAACTCTTGCTCCGAACCTTAACCGTTTTTGCGTTCTTGTTATCGTTTTAGATTTTTAATATACTCTATATTTTGTAAGCACACGATTATAAGTATTCTCCAAGTCGAAGCGCATACAAACAGGCATTTGTGCGCACACAACTTTTTACCGAATACTTATGCTTCATCGGCTTTGTATGCCTCGGAACGAGGTCAATGTACTTTGTCTACACTTGCAGTCCGATGCATCGGCCGACGACAGCGAGCGACTTGAAGGCGCCAGTGCATCCTATAAAACTATGAAAGCTTTCCCGTGTTGCGCTTTCTTGAGGAAAAAGCTTTATTTAAAAATAGTTATGATAAAATTATATTAAGACGTATAAATAAATTAAAATTGTCTTTAGATATCCTCTTCGTCTTTTCATTCTGTCATATTAAATAATTAATTTATTGCCGTTTCTTGATTAGAATTCATGCTAAGAATTTTCGTAAATTTTTATAGTACAAGTTTTACTAGCTTTTATATTTTATAATTTATTGTTTATATTTATATTTTTCAAAGCAAAATTAGTTTTTCATAAATACGTACATTAATATTAGATTATAAAATGCAAAAAGTTATTTTGAAAGTTTCTTAGATTTTGTTGTAATAAAATGTTAATATGATGACAAGATAATGCGATTTTATCAAGATAGATTCACGGCATTAATTGAAATTTTCTGCACTGTATAAAAAAGGTGAAATAATAAAAAAATCTGCATCTTTATTAAACACATTATTTATTAAACATATTATTCTGTGTTAAAACATTTTTATGGCAACATTTATAACTTGCAATTGCTAAGTGAAAGTCGATTATATTTCAATAAATAATATAATACAATATTATAGGATCCTAGTTCAAAATATACAATATAAATTTTAAATTTACTATACAATATAAACTTTAAATTTAATTTGTTTTAATATTTTTTTAATTTACTGTAATTTATTGTGTACTCCTTTTATTGAAATATATAAACCCCTTTCTTCTCTTACAGATTTAATTTAGGATTTAATTTAGTTGTTTAGTACACCAATAATTTTCTCTTTTATGAAGTTTTCCAGGAAAACAAGAAGAAATTTATAATGGTGGAAAAATGAAGTGTAAGAAAAGTCGAGGAAAGTTAGGAGTAGAATATTATGTATACACCTTCCTATCTTAATTAAATTTTTAAAAAAGAATTGATACAAAAGAATTTGTTAGATAGAAATTTATAGAGATAAAAAAAGATTTATAGGCAAATATAAAAAAAGCAAATATTAACATTCTTACATTGTCTAACAAATTTGTAATTATCGGATACCAAACGAGAACTAAAATTGATTGAAATTTTCATCATAACGTAAAGTTGCGGTAGTATCAACTATCATTTGATCATTCCTTCGTTCTAAACTTCATATAAATGTTACCTGAAACCGCCAGTAATCAATGAATAATACAATATAGATAATGCACAGTATGCCATATCATTCGGTTCAATGCGCAGTTGTGATGTGACACAAAAACAGGTCGAGTAGCATATTCGAGCAGCACCGATGTTAACAAGTGCTAAGCGCCCCTTTTGCTTTATATTTTCTAAGACCTGTACTTTTTAAGAACATGATCCTCTTTTTTTAATTTTGCCATTGCCAAAGTTGTTTCCTTTTAATGTTTGCAAAAATTGACAGCTTGAAGAACGCGTAGGATTTCTTTGATCTGAAGTTTCTTTATAAATTAACTTAAATTAATTAAATTGAGATTTAAATGGAAGATTAAATATATGAGATAAAATCATATCAAAACAAAAGATATAAAAAAATATAAAAAATGTATTTATAATCAGATAAAATATTTTCATCTTTTAGACAAATTTCATATTATGTATCAAACGAATTCGGGTTAACGTTGTTTTTGATGAAGTTGGAGCCAAAGTTTGAAACTAGTCTCGCGTGGATTTCGTGCTAATTAAATTTGTTAATAAGAAATTTTTGAGACTTAAGAATTTCCTGGTGATAAATTAGTTATAATTAGAATTGATCATCCTGCCATAAATTTATATTATCGTAGACTTTGACGTATCACGTTTAAGATATAATATTGTAAATGCTTTTAATGCCGACTTAAATATTTTGGAAGGTAGAGAATTTTTTGAAACAAATTTGATGCTTACAATGTAAATTGCATAAAATAATTAAATTCAATTAAGAATTTTAATTCATGAACTTTATAAATCGACATCCAAGAGATTTAACTATGCGGAAATAAAAAAACGTCTAAAAATATAAATGGAAGAGTGAAGACATATTTCTAATTTAGTAGTGCAATTCTTTTGTTTTATATGTAATTTTCAAATTTATTTCTATGTAAATTGAATATAAAATAACAATCATTAAAACGTTAATTTAACTTTTTGTCGATCACATTTAATATATTTTACGTATTAGTATATAATTTTATTATATAAATTTTATTATTATAATATCTGGATTATACACATCTGGATTACACACATCTTGTATATAATCATTATATAATTATTTATAGAATTAGCAATAAACTATTTTTATATATCACACTTACAAACACAAACACATAATGCATTCAGTCCACGTGTGAAGGATTCTTACGTAACTCTCGTGCTCGCATAAAATATGTTGAAGGTTAAAATTGACAAAGCGTAAAAGATGAGATTTAGCCACATGGAATTGCAGCATTTTCTGCAGCTATTTCTATGATAATACTGATAATACTGGTTTTTAATGTTAGACAAATATATTTTATTAAATATTTAAAAATCTTATGTTATGAAAATTTTTTTATATTTTGAGAAAATTTTTAAATAATATAGGCTTAAATAAAATATTTTAAATTTATAATAGTTAGTTTTTTATTATTAACAGAAAAAGAAAGAATAATGATGAATTTGATTATTAATAATTAATTATTATTAATAGTAATAAAATTTTTCTTTATTTCTTCTTTTTTATAACATATTACATTAATACATTTAAGTAATTATTAAATACACAAGAATGCATTTTATAAATTACGTGTTTTAGAATTTTTATTTATTTTACTTTTTATTATAATTTTACGAGAGAGGAGAAAATATATCAAGTTTAAATTTGCAATTATATACGTGTATACAAAATTAACAGAAAATTTAAATTGCGTGACAGGGAGATGCTATCGATTAATTATGAAATAGTTTCTGTTTGATGTTCTATCGCATGAAAAGATCTTGATGTATCTGTGGTGCATATATGTACCCGCATAAATGCCATAACAGCAACCATTTCGAAAATACAACTGCAACATGGCGGTCTGAAAATATCGAGGTCGTGAAAAGAGAACAACATAACATAAAACACGTTTCTTTTGCAAAAATATTTATCATCGTAACTCGAGCGTGGTGTCATTTTATCGTTCTGTTAGAATCCGCATGAATTCATCTCCCCCGAAATGCATGTATTATTTATGAGTCTCGTCATGTTCGCGGATACATCAATAGAATTGCTCCAGCATATTTCCATAAGATATTTCTATGAGACTGTTAATAACAAAACTAAAGAAAGTGCGAAAATTATTACATAAATTCGCGTTCACATATTGCCTGATACAATAATTAATATTTAAAATTAACTCATGAATCAAATTTTAAAATATATAATAAAAACGTTAACACAAAGACGAGTTTGAATTCTGAATACTTTCTCGAAAGGAGCTATTCATACATTCCACGCGCTAGGGATCTGTAAGATCTAAATTGGTATCTCGCGATGTCTATCTCTCAGTCACTGTTCGTGATATTAAAAGCGACATGTGTGCGCGATTAATATCGGAAAACACATAGAGTCTCGCGAATCGGTATTAATTCAGCCAGTTCGCTCTTCCACGATCACTCCGTAGGACGAGGCCAGGAGCGGATCGCAGAGCGTTCCGCCTATCGGGCGGCATCATGGGGAAGGAGAATCGATCCCGATATCCGTGCACCAGAAAGTCGAAGGGGATTTGGGACTAGGGTGCCCGCGGCGACGAGTGGTTGCGCGAGGTTTCGTAAGGCCGCGGCGACGATCGGGGAACGCGGTGGTATCGCGCGAGGGAAACGAAAAGAACTGGCGCCTAACTCACCCTTATCGAGGGTTTCTCGGGCCGCGTGTATGACCTTTCTGCGACGGAGACCGTCGCCCGTTAGGGCGCTCGTCATCGCGCTGGTGAGGGTCGCGCCGGTGGTCGTCGTCCTGACATCGTCACCGTTCGCGCACTCGTCCGTCGTGGACGTGGACGTGGTGGCGGCGGCGGCGGCGGCGGCTGACGCGCGATGATGATGGTGGTGGTCGAGGAGATTGATCGGGGACCCCTCGCCGCCTGGCATAATGTCCCGGACTGCCAGGGACCGTAGTCCTTAGCCGGAGGACCCTTGCGCCTCAACTAAATTCTGATTCCTCTCACTACGTCGTTCTCGTCCGCCCTCTCCCCCCACGCCTCGTCCCCGTGCCCACAGTTTACTCCTTGCACCCCTCTTCGTGGCCTCGCCGCTCCTCACCCTCCGTCTCACCTACGTGGCTACCATGCCACCTAGCCGTCCACTCGCACGATGACGACGAAGGGGGTGAGATCCCTTCGAGCATCCCCCGTCGTATTTCCGGTATCCCTCCGTGACGTGGCACCATCTGCACGTGCGGGGTTGAACTTTCCCGATCGATGGCGACGTAACGGTAGATTCTGGTCGGGGCTCGAGATAAAATTCATCTTGGAAGTGAGGAAAAAGTTGACTTGAAGAATGCCAACGCAGAGAGCTTAAAATCAGTTTACTCGTAAATTTCTTCAAAATTTTTCCAAGACATCTGTATCTGTACTTGAAAAGACAACTTGTAAAAAACTAGATATTTCCTTGAATAATTGTAGCTTTGTTGTTGACGGGATTAAAAACATATCGCCTTGCGTTTTTTAGTTGGTCAGGAAATAAAGAAAAACAAAATAAATAATTTTTTTTTGCGTTCTCGCGTTTTTATTAAAATACTTACACGCTTAACTTACACGTATACTACACACAGGTGTATGTAGTTAAATTAAATAAGACTTAGCTCCCTATTACTCGCTCGAGTCGAACTTCCGCGCTTCGATCTCGCGCTGGAAGGACGCCGGCGTAAGCTCGGCGCCCTTTTTATAAGTACGCGTCGCGACGGACGATCGATTTGCCGCTAGCAACACGGAATTTCCCAGAAGGGGAAATCGTCCCTTTTCACGATATCACGTTGGTATTTTGCTTTTAACCCTCCGACACACAATAATTTGTCGCGACATCTTGAGCGATGCCTTATCTCCCCCAGCGATAAAATATCTTCTCTAAATAAAAGTGCCTGGAGAGAGCATCGATCGTTTCTTTACGTGTGCGACGGAAACTTAATTATATAATCAATTCACCGTTTTACTTTTTGCGCTGTAATTTTAGCTTGTAGGTTAAACATTTATTTTTTTTTTTATATATATAAAAATATATCATTTGTGATGCGTAAGAGAATTCTAAACAAGAAAAGCAATCTAAGAGAATGCGAAGACTTGACTGCACTTTCGACATAGGCGAACATAATTTTTGAAGATTCGTTTCGCTAGCACAATATATCTCGATCAATAAATAAGAATTATGCAAAAAGTGCAAAAGTTAACACTTTTCTGTCCGCTAAAGTTTCGATTATTTTTATTGTATTGCCTTTTGTCTTGTTTTTTTTTGAAATTCGTCTACTGATCTATATATAAAATCGTATAAAATGTAAAATACATCTAAAAACATGGATATGAAAGCATTGCTAAGTTACTCGATACGATTTTATATTGCATTTCTCACCAATGATAGATGCTCAATTAACAACTCCTGAGGCTCGCCGCAATATAAACTTTAACTTTTGACAATCGGGACAGGAAAGTGCTAAGGATGATCCCACAGCCGATGGAATCGTTGAATTTCCCCTCATCTCGTCATCCCCTCCTCCACTTTAGGCTTCGTCATCACGCATCGACCCCTGTAGCAAATCTCCGTCATGTGAGACACCTTCGTGGTGGTTGAGGTTCTTAGAACTTTCCCCAACATCGTGGAATTCGTTCTAAACACATTGCCCATTTGTCTGATCGATGTCGCTGTCCTCGTGGTTGTCGTGGAAGGCGACTCCGTTATCGGAACCTCCTCGGATGGTACAACCGTGTTCGCGGTCGTGTCCGGGATCAGCGTGGTCGTTTCGAACGTCGTAGCGCTCCCCTTCGCCGTCGCCCCCTGCGTTCTCACGGATTTCGTCGCACTTTCCTCGATCTCCGTGCGCTGCGTCGCGGAAGTATCCTGCGGATAATCGGTCGTGACGAGCTCCTCATTTTCTCTCGCCACGTACACCGAAGTGGCGTCGTTCAACCTGGAGTTATCCGTAGGAGTCTCGTTTCTGGCTTCGGTTACCATCGCGATCTCCTCCTCATCGGAGTTTTTCATGGTGTCGAAGATGGCCTTCACGTAGTCGGAGAGCGTTTTCACGCTGCCGTCGCCCTCCTTTCGCGTTACAATCCCGGGGATGGGCGTCGTGGAATACGGATTTGACGCAGTTTGCGATTTATCCAAGGCCGACGGGTATCTCACCTCGCTCCATTTGGCTCTATGATTCTTCGGATGCGCCTCGTTATCTTCAACGTTCTCCTGTTTCTTCAGTGTCATTATATGTTCCTTCACTTTATCGATGGCACTCAGCTTTCGCGTTTCTTCCTTCGCGAGGTCGGTCGAGCCTGCCATGCTATCCTTGTCTTTTTTCGTGATTTTCGATTGAGAGGAGTAATCTAACGGCAGTTTATATCTCTGACTAAACATTTGAACATTTTCCAAATTATTCTGTTCGCTTTTGTCTTCTTGAGAGTGTCTGTTCGAGTATTCTTCCGATGTAACTTTTTCTTGCACTTGAATCTCTTCCTGCGACAAGCGGGTTATTCCTTCAGTTGATGTCGTCTCTCGAGACTCGTCTTTCGATCCGTTTGACTGTTCACTTATCGTTGCGATGCGTTTTTCGCCGTTATTCGATGTCAGGGTCGTATCGATCGGTGTGTTATTCTCTTTCAAAGTTGTAGCTTCATCGTCATTGGAAAGGATGTATGGCGTCGTCATGGGAGTCGAGATCGTCCACGAGTCGGACAATTCCGTAGTGAACGAAGTAACACGAGTCGGAATGGATACTTCGTCGTTCTTCAGCATTTCCTCCAAGAAATCCTGGAGAATCGATTTCCGAGTCGCTTCTGCGGCCGTTGTGGTGCTTGCGGTGACGGTCGTCGCAATCGGTTCAGCGGTGGTGAACCTTGATTCGCGAATCGGTTTGTACTTGTATTGATCTTGAACCAGATTGTTCACTGCGGAGCTGTAATGTTGTGATTCGGCGGTGACGAAATCGTCCACGAGAGGTCTTACCCGCACGCGGACCTTCCTTCTTCGGGTCTGAAAGATAAATTTCCCATTTATTTGGTGCAGAAAATCTTTTTTCTACAGAATCACAAAAAAAGACTCACACGATTGAAAAATTTTATTATTCCTATTTTTATAATTTTTACATTAAATAGAGATTTTGATTATTTTTTACATTTTTATTACATTTCTAAAGCATATTTCAATTTTGTGTTAATAATTTTTGATCCAGGTTTTAAAACTGCCGTAAGATTTTTTTATTATTTTTAAATGCGATCGACCTGGAATAATCCATAATTTTTCTATTCTAAGTAAAAGTAGATGTAATCCTCAAGTTACAACTATGCTACGTTCGAATTTAGTAAAATTACTTAAAATTAATTTTTTATTTATACGAAAGTATAGAATTCTATCATTTTATTTTAAAGAGCATTTTCCACCTTTCTACCGGCAGGAGGATTGGCGATATTTTTCGTCACTTTCGTCACGTCATCTGTTTGCTCCGTAGAAGTGCTCGTCCAGTCTCGCGACGTCTTCAGCAACGTTTCCTTATCATTCTGAACTTGATCCTGAAGCACTGTCGCCGGCGTCACTGCTGTCGTGGCATTCAATTTCTCCGTGTGACTTTCCTGCACGTTTGTTTTCCATCCAAAGCCATCCATCATGCCGATGTTGTCCCCGTCATTTTGCTGTTTCTGATAATCCGAAGAAACGACCACTGTCACCGACGACACGTCTGGCCCGGCCGTAATGATTTCAGGCGCGTTCTCGTTCTCCTGATCATCGCCGGTTCTACCTCGACCTCTCTTTGATTCGCCAGCCACGCGATTCGAAGCGAAGCTCGGCTGGAAGGATGTTTTCGACAATTTCGTAGACCATTGGCTCTCGGAGCCGTAAATGTCACCGGAGTGCGCGTTCGCATCCGAGTTCGCGTTACTCGAATGGCTATACTTTTTTGAAGAGATGCTGGCCAGCTGGGTCTGGTCGTACTCCTCGCGTCCTTGCGACACCTGCTCCGGCAGATTGCCGAAGTTTAGAACAAATTCCTGGGGCGGATACTAGAAACATACACGCTATATTTGAGCAATCTGAAAGAGTGAGTTGTAACTTTAGAGGGAAGAAAATGTTAAAAACAGAATCGAGTAACCAAGCGTTTATATATAGCCGATAACACAGCGAGCTTTTGTATTGCGAGCCACGAGCGAAGAGACGAGGGAAGAAAGTCGTATTTTTTCTTCCCTTTGGCAACTTTTCTATTTGTTACATTTGTATATTTGTGTCAGAAAATTCACTTACACTTTCGCTGTTCTCCTCGTACAACTGCGCCGGTCGATTCTGACTCGGCACGAATCGCGGCGTGACGTCGAAATTGTCGTCGTAGACAGGCTGCTGTCCGGCCGCCGTCACCGGCAGCTGCTGCGGCGTTATTCGGGGGTAGTTTTCGTCCAGCGGCAGCTCGTTGTTCGCCTCGAGCCCGGATTCCGTGGTCGTCGTGACACGTTTCTTTCCCGGTCGGCGAACTCTTCCGCGTACCCTCGTCGATTTTGATTCCTCTGGTCTCGTTTTCGGTTTTACAGTGAACGCAGCATCGTCCGGCATTATCGTCGCAACAGGTACGACTTCCGTCGTCGTGCTCGTCGTCGTTGTTGCGAATACCTTTGTTGTACTTGGACGACGGTTCGAGGTCTGATATTTCGGACGATTTTTCAAAATGTGACTCGGACTTGATTCCACCGCCGTCTCGTCGCTGGGGAGGATGTGCTGTATCTACGATGTATTTGTCTTTATTTTTCAAGCATTTCAGAAACGCTTGATTTTGAATCGCTTTCGGCGCGATGGGGATACGTTGAAGGGAAGATCGATGGAGTGTTATGCAGAAATTTTATTTTTAAAGGATCTGGTGAAAAATATCTTTAGGGGAATATCAGGAGAATTGAAAAATTTTAGGTATTGAAGAGAAGATTGATGAACTGTTTTACGAGAATTTTGTGTTAAAATATTTTGGAAAGTAGTATTTAATATTTAAAAGATCTAAAATCTTATATTTGCCGCTAAGAATCGTTATCTTTTTATTAAAATTATACTATTATGAGCGATATAAATGAGATATAAATATTCTACGATTATTGATTCCTACGATTATAGATATTCTACGATTTCCTGATTAAAACGCAAATTTTTCAAATTTCACAGAAAAAAATTGTTATTCAGAAATTTAATTTTTTTGTATTGAAACTTATTTCTTTTTTCTTGCGGATAATATTTCGCGAAACTTACCTCGGATAAAGCGGGTCTGTACGTAATGGGCGCTTGGAATCTATTGTCCACCGATGGATGCAATGGATGAACCGGGCGGAAGCTCGGCGGTCTAATAAATCCGTAATCAAAGTCTTCCTCCGCCGTGCGGGGTGTCGTGGTTGTGGTCGTCGTCGTCGTCGTCGTCGTCGATGGTGTGGTGGTAGCGATCAACTTCTGCTGCTGGGCCGCCTGTATCTTTATGTATTCGTTACCCTCGGTTTGCACCTGCGATCCGTGACTCTGCGGACGCGTGCGAGTTCTCGTTCTTTCGCGATGTCGATGACCGGTGCCGCGACCGGAGTCGTTATTCACGACGCTGAAACGTACATATTCGTCCTGGGAACCACGGGGTCGCGTCTGAATCGCGGAGTCGTGATGAGTGCGACCGCCTAATCGAGCTCGAACTCGCTGACGTATTATTACGGGCGCCGGAGTGGTTGTGCTGGTCGTGGCGATCTGGAGCAGAAACGATATAACGACATTTAAATACTTATGCGAAAGAGAAAAAAATCATGAATTTTATAAATATATTGTACAGAGAAATATATATTTGTCGTATGTAGTGAAGTTTAATAACGATGATTAAATATTTATTTGTGAAAATATAAATCATGAATTTTTTATAAAAAAACATTTACAGATATCATATATATTATAAAAAATATTTATAGATATACAGACAAATATTTGTCTTATGTAGCAAAGTTTAATTCTGTGTGCAAGGAAAATTATTTTTTATATAATATAGACAGAAACATTTCTGCATAAGATCCTATCGTCTTTATATGTCAAAGATACATAACATTTATAATTACTCATATATAGGATTTACAAATAATCGGCTATAATTCATCACAGTTTGCAGTAAAATTTTAATCAAAAATTTTTTCATAAAGGTCTTTAGATAATGCAAATAATTGAAATATTCATATAACGTATTGCAGTAATATCAGTTTAGTACGTACTTTGATAAGCGATAACAATTTGTCGTATTTCTAATAAAATTTTGATAAAAAATTTTAGATTCATATATAAGAATGAAATTTAGGTAAATTTAGGTAACGCAAATAATTGAGAAATATAACGTATTACAATAATATCGGTTTAATACGCACTTCGATAAGCGATGGTTCCGTGGAGGGAATCTGCAATTCATAATCCTGCTGCTTGCTCTGTTGAAGCGGAACGAAGATCGGTGAGGCATTCGGATCGGTCTCTATCGCGGCGCTCTCGATCTTGCCGTCGTCGAGATTGCGGAACGGATTCTGTCCGCCGGCGTTATAATCCGGCTGTGTCTGCGCCACGTTGACCTCGTAAATCGGGGAGTACCGATGCTCCTCGCCCGGTGTGACTTGCCTAGTGTCCTCTGTCGCGGCTAGATTGTAGTTGGCGTTTTCCTGATAACGCGGATATTCCTTGGATTTCTGCGGAATCGTTTGGTCCGGCAGATTCTCGTTCGCGACCTGATAATTGAACCCGTTCACCGGAGTTCTTTCAAGCCCCGAATGCTGGAAATCGCTGTTCTGATCGTACGCCGCGTCTTGCTGCTGCTGCTGCTGCTGGTAGCGCGTCTCTTGAGGGTGGTTTTGCGGATAATTCTGACTTCTGGAATAATCGTCGGACATCAAGGGCGTGCTGTGCTGGGCCGTGACCTCGCGTAACGGCGGATAATTCTCGGTCTGCGTGGGGATGGGGGTCGGATAACTCTCCGCGTAATTGCTTATGCCTGACGGAGGGATTTCCTTCTGGTGGAGACTAGAACCGGGTCCGCTCACCGACGTGTACATATCGGGAGATACGTTACTCTGCGAATCGGTCTGCGGATAGTTCTCGAAGTTAGCTGCTGGAACGTTGTGGCTTTGAACCTGGATAAATTTAGAAAACAATGTTTATGCGAATGCACAGTTTTCTGCCTCTTTTTTCACAGTTCTTCATAATTAGGTTGGGTATTTTTGTTAAAAAGTTAATCGTACCGTGGATTGATGGGAACTCGCTCTATCTCGATTCCTATACTTCTGCGTTCTAGATACTGGTCTTCTGTGTTCTGCCGCGCTATACTTCTGCGTGGTTTCTGGCGTGGTTTTCGCCTTCGTTGGCTCATAAGATGAATCGCGATATTCCTCCGTGGTAGTCGTAAATCTTGATTTAGATCGATTATATATTGGTCTCCGAGTTTTGCTACCAGGTGTCTGAGTCGTCTTGGGTCTTGTAGGTACGATTCTGCTTCTGTGCATAATCAGAATTCTAATATATTGCCCTGGCATTCACGCTCGAGAAATTTTTAGAGATACTTTACATAATCTTAGACGTTAAATGGTGTAAGAGTTTTACGTAGAGAAATTTTATGCTTTTCAATGTTATTATGTGCACCATCTTGAATATCGATGAAAACAATGGAGAGAGAAACGAAAAAATATAAAATATTTTATTATTAATCTAATAATTATGAATATTTACTTTCAAAATTTAAATAACAAAAAATATGTTATAAAGAAATAGTAATAAAAAAAAATTACTATATGTCGTAAATTATAATAAAATTACCTTCCTCGTGGCCTATAAGTCGTGGAGCTTATACGAGCAGTCGTCGTTCTCGGCGTTGGGGTTGTTGTCGTGGTCGTCGTCGGTGGTGGCGTCGGAGCGACAGGAGGATTTCTCTCCTGTTTGTCCAACAAGGAATTTACCAAGCCCGGCAGATGCGGAGAGATCGGCGGTAATTCCGCCGGTAAATTATATTGCGTGGGTCCAACTGGCGCTCTGACGTCATTGGCGTCGTACGAATCACCCAGATTAGTCTGAGAATGATACTGCTCGGCGGTGTTGTATTTCTGAATCTCTCTTTGCTGGCTGAGCTCTTGATTGATGAGCGCCAATTGAGCTGCCAGATCCTGCTCTTTTGTAGAAGGATCCTGCGAATTTATCGACTTGTCCTGGAAATTCGGTGTACTCGAGTAAGATACCTCCTGTCTATAACTGACTGTCGTATCGAATTTAGGAGGCTGAGTAGTCGACTTGGACTCTTGTCCGTAATATTGTTTCGGTTTTGTCTTCGCAGATTGGTCGTCGTAATACGTCGTAATACTGGCTCCGGAAGGCGGCTTACTGTCATAATACTGCTTGAATCTGAACTTCGAATTTGAAGATGGCGTTGAATAAGAGTGCTCATACTTAGGGCTGCTGGATTCCGGGGAGAAGTTTTGAGTGGTCGAGGAGTCGTAGGATGCGGTGGTAGCGATGGATCCACCTTGATCAGCATCGCCATAGGAATTTGGCTCGATTAGTGGCGTCGGATTGGGATTCTGTTCGTCCGTCGAGGTGTTTGATTCCGAGAGCGTGTTGACAACGACGGAACCGATGTGCGGTGCTGGGAAGGGGATTTTAGAGTAGCCCGGGGGTGGATCGAAGCTCAACGGAGCGACGAAGAAAGGCAATTTGTCGACTTTGCGCTCCACCCTGTTGTGGTCGATCGACGACAAGTAGGGAAGATCAAACTTCGCGTAACCGTAAGGAGGGTCTAGATTTGAAGGGCCCACGAACACCTGTGGGCTATCAGGGCCGACGTTATCCAGAACGGCGATGGTTTTCGCATGTTTTAAGAGTCTCAGAACATCGGTAACTTTGACGTTATCTAATCTAGACGTGGGACCGCCCATGTAAACGGAAAGGGGTGGCTGATTAGGCGACGGCGTGGTAGTGGTCTCACGATAGTTCGACTGTTCCTGATATTGGTTGACCCGTGGACGTTGCCTACCGCGAATTTTCTTGATCCTGGTACCTTCTGTAAGATGCTGATGACGCTCTTGTTGTTCGCGGCTCAAAGCTTGAGACTGAACGTTTTGATGAAGTAAGCTCGGATTGGTGGGACGTAATTGATCCTCCTGTTGACTCTCCAGGATCCTCTGTTGCTCCAGCCTTGCTAATTTTTGGCTCTCTTCACGTTGTCTGGCTTCTTCCTCGCGGCGTCTCTCCTCTTTGATGCGAAGCTCACTAAGCCGTCGTCGTTCGAGCTCTTCCTGTCTCTGCTTCTCTCTAGCCTCGCGAATTCGATCCAGTTCTCGTTGCCTCGCCATTTCCTCCAGCCTTTCCAGCTCCTTTCGTTTTCTCTCGGCCTCTTTTTGTCGCAACAATTCCTGTTCCCTTTGAAGCGCCTCTTGCTGCAGACGCGCCTTCCGTTCGAGTGCCTTCTGCTCCTCGTTCAATCTAGTGAACTCTTTTATGCGTTCCTCCTTCAGGAATTGTGCCTTCTCTTCATGCTCCTGTTGAATCTGTTGCAAAATTTGCCGCGCATAGGTTTCTTGATCGGGCGAAAGAGAGGTTTGGTCGAAGTTTCCTTGATTTTCTCGTTGTTGATGATGTTGACGAACGGGATATTGCTTCCTTCCACGGACTCTTTTCGGTTGACCTCTTTGCGCTAGCGTTTCCGCCGGGACATATACTAGTTGAACCTAGAAAGATAAATATTTGCTACTGTTAAATATATAAATCTTTATATAATCCTAGCAATCATAGATATTTTAATAAAAATAATTGCTTGATTTTAACATTTGACTTAATGAATTAAAAATCTAATAATTTATGGCATATTAATAAAATATTTTTTAGATAATATGCATTTTGCGATGTTGTACAGATACGACTCGATTAAATTTTGTTGTATCATTATGTAACGATTATTAATATTGATAATTCCATATATATATAATTCCATAGATAAATGTAAATAGTTTATTAATTATTAATAAAATTTGAAGAAAGAATAAAAATTTATTGATTTATTTCTTTGTAAAATTCGATATTTGTTGAAATAAGTCGCTATTTTAGTAGGTTCCACTTTTGTGTTTAAGAAATCAGATCAATTTATGGTCCTGCTGCGTGCTCAGTTCCGGTTTCGCTCGGTTGATATATGAATCTTGCGTATTTCATGCACGCTCTAATTCTGTTAGATTTAGCGATACCATCGCAGAGATGCACATGTAAGAATTGGTCAATGGAACTTGATAAATCGTCGGAAAGAAAAGCCACATGAAGACTTCATTATACGAACCTCCTCCTCCTCGTCGTCGCCAACGTTTTCGATTAGAGAGGATTGCGGTAATGTCGGTTGTCCCTTCAAACGTTTTTCATCAGGTCTCTGGTTTCCTTGTTTCGTTACGTAAGCATGTAGTTCTTCCTCCACATTTCCGCCGTGTTGCAGTATAACCCCTTGACCCTGAATAGGTAAGTTTGAAAGTTTTTGATTACTATTCTGGTAAGACGCCTGTCCCGGTCTTTGGGGTAGGAAGTTCTGAGGGGGATGTACCGGTGGAAGAGCTCCCGAAGACGGATGTGAAGGTACCAAAGCTTCCGACGCTAATTCTGATGTCGTTTGCAAGTTGCCTAAGGAACTAGGCGGTAACGCTTGTTTCTCATCTTCAGCATTACTATAGTCACCGGGAATGAATGTCTGAGTCTACAAATAGAGATAAAATTATTGGGAATTTAAGCAAGAAAAAACAAAAGTTGAGACTTATACAAGTTAATAAATTTTAAATTTCTGTTAAATTTAAAAAGATACATTTATTATTTAATGATATAATTAGTTGCATTTTCTGTGTAAAAAGTTTTTATCAAATTTATTTTTTTTTTTTATACATAAATATAGCTTGAGTTTTCTAAAGTTCATATTTTTTTATTTTTTTTTTATTTTATATTAACAAAATAAGCCAAATAAGGAAACAAATTTCTTGACATTTATTTAGTGAAAACATTTTATGAAAAAAAATTAGTTTTGAAGGCATCTTATATTTTTCGCGGAAACTGAATTTTTTACTTGAAGAAGCTGCTGCTGAGTTTTAAGCTGCTGCTGCAACAGAAGGAGCTTTTGAATACTCTCCTGCGTCTTCTGCAGCTGAATAAGTTGCTCTTGATACTGCTGCTGAAGGGCCGGCGGTAACGAGAGCGATTGGACTGGATTCGGCGAATGCGTAGCGCTGCTGGAAGACAGAAGTCCGCCTTCCGCGTTGCCGCGTGGCAATTGAGCGGACGCGGTTCCCGGATTAGCCAGCGGAATCCACTCGCTGTTGGAGATTTGTCGTGACCATCGCTCAGCCGCGCTTCCGTCGAATTTGCCTAACAACGTTAGGACAATGATGAATACCGCGGTTGGTGTGAAGCATCTCCGCACAATCTAAAACCGACGATATCGATTAATTGATCCGCGGACGCTAAGTAATTAACTTCGGCGACGGCACGTACAGTATATTG